AACAGCCGCGGTGCCCATATGCCCGAAATCATTTTCAAATGTTAACGTCACGTATTGATCTTTCGAATAAAAAAAAAATTTGATTACAATTTAATTTTTTGTGTTATTTTTTACAATTTCAAGTTCTATCGGGCTTAAAAAAACACCCATTATATATCTAAAACAATAAAAGTGATCCACGACGCCCATAAGCACCATGCTATTTGTTCCTTTGTAGTTATAATATTGTTGCGCGCCACTATTAATGTCTTGTACATGGCAACACTAGTTACCATTAGCGCCCTCTAGTGTCGAGTAGCAGAACTAGGAGTCAAGATCCTTCTAGAAATTTCGGGACCGATATGTACTCGAACATTCTAGATGTTTCTACAGTAGAAAGTTCTGGAAACTACCTGAGGCCCTATATAAGGCCAGTATAGACCGTGACCGGGTCAGTATTGAATTGGCGATATAAACGAATACTTCGAAGCGAAATAATTGCGAATTAAAGTGATCAGTGGTATAATTGCGTTTTATTATTAGTGTGTTTAAGTTGTAATTAGTGTTTTAAAATTAAAGCAGCACACACTTCTGTTACTATTCGAAATATGGATGCTTTGAACTGAACATTACTGACAATAATGTGTACGATATTCCAGACAAAAGGTATACCAAAATTATTTCCAACTTCACTCTTGCAGGTATTGCATCCCTCATATGTGTATCTTCACGTTGAACTTTATGTCCAATTAAATTTAAGAGTATTTCTACTTGTGACGGCGTATTTCTCACCATTGCTTTATATTCTCGGGGAAAGTCATTACGTATCTTTAAATATTAAATTCGTGGCCCGTTTCCTTAGCATCCACTTTCTGACCCAAATACTTCTATTTTTCTTTTTCTTTGGGCCAGCATTTTCAGCTCGAAGTATTTCAGCGCAAAGAATTTTTGAAACCGCACTTATTGTGGTATGAACCACGAGCCGTCGTGCGTGTTTTGATAATATTGCACGAGACTTGTCACATGAGAAGTCGGAAGGCGATTACACAGATACAGTAGCTGTCTACTTCCACATGAGCAGATCGCACTAGTGTGAGCGGGTGAGACGAGTCGGGCTACTGCCATGCAAGTACAAGGGTGCAGAAGCTGTCTACTGTCTACTTTTAGCAGCTCGCACTATGTAACCTCGCCTTAAGAGGCATTTACAATTACTTTTCTTCTAGTCCAAAGAGTTTCAGAGTTCAAAGACTTTCAAATGTTTTGTGACTTAAAAGTACACAAAATACTTCACCTTATTATTCAAACACGCTGGTGAACTGTACATGCAGCAGTGAATAGAGTATTGGAACAATATTTTGCTCTAAAATTATTTTTCATAGACCAAGTATCTGAAAATGATCATCTTTTAGCTGCAGAAAATATACTGCAGAAGCCTCAAGATCCTACAACGTTGCTATTTTTGGAATTTTTGGATTTTGTGTGATCATTATTTAACGATTTAAATAAAGAAATGCAGGCTGAACATCAGAAAATTCATATTTTAAATAAAAAAATAAGTCAAACATAAAGAATATTTAGAAAGTACTTCAACCGAAAACGTTGATTTTAATAATCCTACAAATTTTATGGATATCGAAGCCGTATACTTCTGCGCAGCGGCGTCTAATACGCTACTTTGTAGTCAAAATCTAGGCCCAGATAAAATAAACTTATTCAAATGTAGCCTAGATTTTTACATCGAATCATGCAAACAAATAACTGCACGCTTTCCATTAAAAAATAACCCTATAAAAGGTTTAGACGTCATTGACCCAAGAAATGTTAAAAGTGGCAAAATTGCGTCGATTGTTCCTGTTATTAGACTCTTTCCTGATATTGTTCAAAATAATCATTTTTAGCAAATTGATACAGATAGGCGTGTTCTGAGAAATTGTGAACAAATAAGATCATTTTCTGAAGACATAGAACTCTATTGGGACAATATCAGTTTACTGAAGCATGGCGATGACACTCGAATGTTTCTTTTGTTGTCTTCATTCGTATTTACTGTTTTAACACTGCCCCATTCATCCGCAAATGTTGAGCGTATATTCTCGCACGTTAATCTATTGAAAACAAAACAGCGAAATAGATTGTCTACCGAATCAATCACTGGTTTACTATACAAAATGTATGTATGTTTAATGACTCTTAATTGTTATGATTTTGAAATTAGTTCAAAAATGACAGGTGCTATGGATAAAGTATATTGGTACGATCTTAAAGTTTACAAAAAATAAATCGATTTAGTTATTATCAAAGACATTACATTTCCTTTGTTCTGAGTCTGATACATTTCATGTTATTGATTGTTAATTTTATAGGTTGGACTAATTAATTATTGTTATTTGTTAATTTAAGTACGTAGGTATCTAGTAAAGGTACACCCGCTTAACTGCTAAGTTTTAATAATATCATTAGTGAGGAAAATAACATTCCGAGTTTAAAATAAACAGATTTGATCAACGTTATTGCGTTTTTTCATTTACCGCTTTTTGGTCGAAATATACCTAAAGATTTTACGTGGCAACCCTACCTATTTCGCATTTTGACTTTCGAGACCACTGTTAATATGGCTGCAGACTTCATAAGTGAAGCATTTGACATACTTAAGTTAATCAAAAACCCAAAAAAAAGTTATTGGTGCTTTGGTTGCTAACGAGATCGCAATAACGCAACAGAGCATTTGGGATGGCAGTCAGAATCATGGGTATATGGATATCGGTGCGGATACACTGGAAAGTGATATGAAGGCTTCCGAGTTAATGTTTACCTTAACGAGCATTTTAGAATTCCTCTGGGCTATTTTATACTCATGGTCTGACTGGGACACAAAAAACCAATCTTGTAAATATTTGGTAACAAAATGCGAAAATTCTGAGACAAAAGTGTCTTTGACCTTTGATGTTTATCCAACAAATTTATCGAACATGGAGAGTTATTAGGGTGCCAAATAAAAAATCCATCTAGTTAAGAACTATCTTTAAACATCCTACTGCAAAACACAACGTGGCTGTATTTTTGTATCCAAATCATATGACAAAGTTTGTGCGCAACCACTTTGAAAGTAAAAAAACCTTTCTTAATAAAAAGGAAAAAGAAATAAATTGGAACTACATAGTACAACTTAATAACTTCTAAGAAAAAATAGAATTGAATATAACAAATAATTAATCAAAAAACCTTTTTAAATTTCCGAAACTACACTCGCCGGCATAAAAAGTGGCCCAAAACTTTATCGCGAATTGGTCAACAAACTAAGCATTATTTACAAACTAAGCATTATTTATGTGTATTATAGGTACAATGTGTCCGGTTACCGGTGTCGGAGCTTTTAATGCTATAAAATATAATCAATTTCATCGACAAATCATGTCTCAAATCTCATTTAGACCTAGCTGTATTTAAATGGCAGCCATTTAAATTTTTCAGTGTCACCACCTCGGCCCCGCGCATTAAAATTACAATATTCACCGATGTAGAAGTCCTACATTCTTAAAAGATGTCTCATTGGGTAGATAAAGATATGCGTAATAAAATAAAAGCAAACTTTTAACTGCAAAGTTGTATTTAGATCCTAAAAAGACTAAGAAAAGAAAAAAAAATGTAAAAAAAATTCGGTTACTTTTTCACATTTTCGACTTTAATGAAAAAAGTAGGTCATTTACCTATCAATTTTGTACATTTATTAGATAGAGCAAGATATTTCCTTAACATAAACGTTAAAATCTTAATTGTAAATTAAATAGTTTAAGAATTGTACTTTATCAAACACGACCTCTTAAAAGCGCAAGCTGCACGTGCAGGATCATTTATGATAGTTCAAGAGCAGGTAGAAAAACCCAAAGTCCATTGTTTGATGTTCTAAACAAGTGTACTTGGGACAACAAAAACAGTCGTCCCTCGCCACGCGTTGTGATTACACTACTTTCGCCCCTCTAAGATCGCTTGTTGTTGTTATTGTTAAAAAAAAACGTTTTGTGGAACTTTTTAAGTTTGTGGTGAAGTTTCTAGTTATTTTGATATTTTCAAAAATGGCAGATGGCGAATACTCAAACCAGCATGTCGCTGATATCCACTTTGTGTATGGATGTGCAACGGCAACGCAAACAGAGCTGTCACAGAGTACGCCAGAATGTTTCTCAACAGACGAACACCAAATGCTCGCACTTTTGTAAGGATACATTTGCGGATAGCTGAACTTGGGATCAGAACACCCGCTAAAGAAAGATTTCGGCTTGTGGCACCTGAGGAGGAAGAAGAGATATTACGTTTAATTACACAAGATCCCAGACTCAGTGTAAGACGAATAAGCAATATGCTTAATTTAACAAAATGGTCAGTGTGGAGAGTTTTAAAGAGGGAAGGTTTGCATCCTTACCATTTTCGGCGGGTACAAGACATTCGCGAACCTGATTATACTATAAGGGCAGTTTTTTGTTCGTGGATCAACAGAAGAACAAGACAAGATGCAGATTTTTTTAAAAGAATTTTGTGGACTGACGAAGCCACTTTCACGAGATCGGGTTATACAAATCACTGTAACGAGCATCTGTCGCTTCAAGAAAACCCTCATGCTGTTAGAGAAAGTACTTTCCAACATGAAATTCGAGTGAACGTTTGGGCTGGAATAAAAGACGATATTTTAATTGGGCCGATAATTGTACCAGAAACTATGAATGGCCCAAGATTTTTAGTTTTTGCAAACACAGTTTTTGGAAAAATTAATGGAGCTTCCATTAACTCACAGAGCAAGGATGATTCTCCAACTTGACGGTGAACCTGCACATTTTGCAGTAAATGTGCGAAATTATTTAAATGAGCGCTATTCGCCGTGGATTGGTCGCGGTGGAGGGATCGCTTGGCCTCCGCGTTCACCGGATTTAACTCCCTTAGACTTTTTCTATGGGGCATTATGAAACAAAGAGTTTATGCGAACGTGCCAAACTCACGAGAAGAGTTGATTAATAAAATAATCGAAGTTGGAAATGAATTGCGACAAGATCGGGAGATGATCAGACGTGCAACTCAACATGTGGCAATAAGGGTTACAACATGTCTCCAACATCGCGGAGGTCATTTCGAACAGTTTTTATAAATAACTTTTTAGTTACGTGCATTTTGAAATACTGTGTTTCATTCTTCTCATCAATTCACTGTCTGTCTGCAACCAGGGCGACAAATTTTTCAAAGGTCATATTCAAACAGTTATAATAATGATTTTTTTTTGTTACAATTAAGATTTTTATGTTTTTGGTTAGGAAATGTTCTGATCTATCTGATTAATGTAAAGAATCATTAAGTAAATGACTTACTTTTTTCATTAAAGTCGAAAATGTGAAAAAATAACCGATTTTTTTTACATTTTTCTTTTCTTAGTCTTTTTAGGATCTAAATACAATTTTGCAGTTAAAAGTTTGCTTTTATTTTATTACGCGTATCTTTATCTATCCAATGAGACATCTTTTAAGAATGTAGGACTTCTACATCGGTGAATATTGTAATTTTAATGCGCGGGGTCGAGGTGGTGACACTGAAAAATTTAAATGGCTGCCATTTAAATACAGCTAGGTCTAAATGAGATTTGAGACATGATTTGTCGATGAAATTGATTATATTTTATAGCATTAAAAGCTCCGACACCGGTAACCGGACACATGGTATATTATGTTGAATGATAGAGTCGATCACTTTCTTCAAGGATGCTGGCAGATACCTGGAGGCTGATATAATTTTAAATAGATGTCGAGCTCCCATCTTTACATGACGGTTTATTCTTAATTGAGAACCAAGCCGGGGCGTAAATTTTTACGACAAATGTAACCAGAGCAATCAAATTCTCTGATGGTTTCGCTGTTGCTACATACAAACGTTATATTCGATTAGCATGTGTGAGCCATGCGAACTGGAGATATGTTTGCTAGATCTTCTGGAAAGGAAATTGATTGTACCGCAGAGACGATCTCGTGCAAGTGCTTTTGATCTGTGCTCAAATCTGGGGCCATTTAGCTTCTTAATAAACTTGAGTAAATTTTTATGTTTTACGCGGTAGGCTTTTTTGCATAACTCGTGTTCTGGTTACGGTCAGAATAGACAGCTTACCGAATATTTTCAGCTCTTGGGGCCACAATATCTGCTATTTGTGAAAATGTTACGTTGTCGCAGTTTCTAGTTGCAATTTTAGTTGATGTCTGGTCCACTCGTAGTACTTCATCACATATTCATACGTAGCTAAAGTGTTCTCTTTAATAACTCGGATATCACCAAAAAGGGGACGCTTGAATGCACTAAGAGTTCCCTCCATGGTTCAAACAACTAAGAAATATTGTGAAATAGATAAAAGCGTGTCCTTACACATGGTTAGACAAATTTAAAAAATGCCACGGAATAAGACGTTTAAAAATAGCCGGTGAAAAACTGTCAAATGATGAAGCCGCTATCGGACCATTCCAACTAGTTACAAAATGTTATTAGAGAAAAAAATTTAACAGCGGAACAGGTTTCCAATGCTGACGAATCTGATTTATACTGGCGATTTTTGCCTCTGGCAATAAGCAGTCGGCTTCCGGAAGGAAAATGATGAAGATGAGAGTGACATTCATGTCTTTTGTAAACGCGGGTGGTACCCATAAACTTCAATTGCTTGTTGACGGAAAATCCAAAAACCCGCGGGCATTTAAATCAACACATCTTCCTATTTGTTATCGTGCACAAAAAAATGCTTGGGTTACGAAAGACTTGTTTCTTGAGTGGTTTAAAACGAAATTCGTTCCCGCGATCCGTCGCCATCTTTTGTCTGTTAATTTGCCTCCTCAGGTACTGTTATTGTTGGATAATTGTCCTGGGCATCCATCAGCAGATGAACTTGTCTCTGAAGACGGCAACATTTTTGCAATGTTCCTGCCACCTAAACACCACGGCGTGTATACAATCAATGGATCAGAACGTTATACAAAATGTGAAGTTAAATTACCGCAAATCACTTTTGGTTAACTGTCTTGCATTATGTTCTGAGAACCTCATGGACTTATTAAAATCGATAACTTTAAAGGACGCAGTTTTTCTTTTGGCTAACTGCTGGGCCAATGTTAAGGCATCGGTAATTAACAAATCATAGAATAATTTGCACTCTGGATTTCTCACTGATAATGACGAACCAGAAGATGATGTTCCTTTAGCCCAGCTTTTTAATAGGTTAAGGGGACCCAATGATCCTCAAATAAGTGAGGCAGAAGCTCAAGAATGGGCTGCTGGCGGTGCCGAAAGCGAGTTACAAAGATATGAAGTGTTAACTGATGAGGAAATTGTGCGAGCGGCAATGTGTGAGGACGATGAGCAAGATGAAGACAATAGTGTTGAAGTTCTCGCCTCCAAAAAAGTTGGTAATTCAGATTGCAGTAGGAGCTTTAAACACTGCTTTAAAATGGGCTGAAGATAACGAATTTGATAGCCACGAAGTTGTGTTTCTCCGTCGACTAAGAGACCGGGCTTTTGAAATGAATTACGAAAATTATAAACAATAGTATTACAGACTTTTTCAAGAAGAATTAATTAATGTTTTATTTTAACTTACTGTTTTTCTTACATGGTTGTAATTTTGAACATATACATTTTTGTCTTTACGCTTTAATTTGAAAATTGATCAATGAAACTAAGGTTAAACATGTGTTTTATTACCATTACATATGGCATACTAAAATCCGGACGCCTCGATAATCCGGAAAGGTCTTGTTTTTTGCCTCTCCGAATTAACGAGGCCCTACTGTATAACATTTTTGAACTAAAATAAATGTTTTTAATTATTCGTTTGTTTTTAATTTAATTTTAAAATAGAAAAATTCCTGCTGGACAGCCTTTAGAAAACTAATGTTTTAGAAAACTATTCCGTGACCTTATTGACCTGCCCTCGTATAATCGATAACAAAACAGCGTGGATTTCATTCACTCCAACAATGCTGCGGATTGCGGTTACAGCATGAAATTTTAGTGGTTGTTTTCCCCTAGCGGAAACATTTGCCCTCAGTAGAACTTTAAAAAAATTGAGTTAAACTTGAAAACTAAGTTTTGTTTTGAAATAAATAAATTTTCATTAGCTGGAAAGGATGAGAAACAATAGTAATAACTAGACGTAACCTATGTACTATACTTGAATTGCACGCGCTGCCGCGCGCTGCCTACATAGTGAAGCGCTTAGGCATTAATGTACGCATGTTTGTAATAAAGGGGACTGGCCCCCAAACTTTGTATAAAACGTTGACGAACAGTTATGTAAGTCGTTCCGCCTGTCGCACCGCTCTCGAGCGGTTGTAAACAGGTAGTTCGCGCGCGCTAACGTCCCTACGTTAGTGCCCTTCCGTACCGCGCTTCGCGTTGTTTAGTGAGCGCTCAACAGCGCTGAAGTTCGGTAAGTGATCTATCGCTAACTCTCAGTTCTTACCCCCCCGCCCTCGGACGGGGAGGTTTGACTGACCGCTTCTTTATATTGTAGTTCACTAGATACTAGTGTATAAGTTTATTAGTTTATTTTATTAAATATTTGTTTATTATATCCCGTGTTATTGTGTTTCTTAAATACGTTACTTGCTCTTTTCAGAGCAAGTCCCTGTTCTTTTGAGAACAGGGATCTGTTTCTTGGTTAAGAGCGTCCCGTTCTTTTCAGAACGGTGATCCCGCCCTTACTGTTATTAGACTAAGTGTCCCCCCCCCCCCTAACTCTCTAAACTATTTAAGTCGTCCCCACCGTCATACAACATGACCACCCACGCACAACTATTAGAATCCTTCCACGCCATCGTCGCAAAGATGGACATAACGACTTTAACCGATTTTATGGCCAAGTTTGCCGCTGCTGCCTCTCAGGCACACCCACCGCCGCCTGTTATAGCGGACTACCTCGAGTCTCGGAACTCGTTCGCGCCTTTAGAAATTGACATGGAGTGCTCTCACTCCGACTCCGCGTCATCAATATCTGCCTCTCGGAAGAGGCCTGCCACTAAGTCCAGCACCAGGACATCGGAGTCCTCTGACTCCGATGATACCGGTGACTCAAATACATCGTACACCACGGTTTCGTCAAAGCGCGCAGCGAAGCGCGCCGCGAAAAACCGTTCGCCCCCCGACTCAGCGGCCCGTGCCGCTCCCTCCACCCCCGCAGCCCCCGCCGCTGTCGCGTCTTCCCCCGCCGCTGCCCCGACCCCTCTTATGTCGTTAGATATCGCAGCGCCGTCGAAGCCGCCTTCACGTTGCGCTCCCCAACTCTCGAAAAAGCAAGTCCCTCCCCCTGTCTTTTTAAGAGACAAGGCAGAGTTCACCCGACTTAGCAAGATCTGCTATGATTCCGGTATTAAATATGACCAAGCTACCAATATGGGCGTAGCCATTAAAATAGTTCCACAATCGATAGACGATTTTCGCCGCCTTACGAGGCTCTTCACAAACGAACGTGTGTCTTACGGAAGAGCGTAAAGTCAGGGTCGTCATCCGAGGCGTCCCATTCGAGCTCTCCAACGAAGAAATCCTTGAGGACCTTAAGTCGCAAGGATTTCCTGTTGAGGCTGTGCATAAAATGCACAGCAGAACCGGGTTGAGATACCCGATAGTTTTAGTCATTTTAACAAACGTACCGAAGGCGAAAGCTATCTTTCGACAAGTACGCACCGTGTACGGCTTGTCGGGAGTCAAAGTTAAGCCACCGCATAGACGCGGTTTCCCGGCGGAGTGCCATCGCTGCCAGCTTTATGGGCATGCGGCGGCCAATTGCTCCGCTCCACCCAGGTGCGTAAAGTGCCTAGACCCGCACATCACTAAGGAGTGCCCCCGGCCCAAAGATGCCGTATCCCCGCCCGCGTACGTCCTGTGTCAACAGACAGGCCACCCGGCAAGCTATAGAGGATGCCCGTGCGCTCCTCGTCCTCGCCCAAATAGGCAGGTCCCACCGCCGGTCAATGACCGTTCATTCCCGGCGTTATATGTTAGGAAGCCCCGTCAGGGCTTGTCTCAGCCGCCGCAGGGTTTCGCACGACCCCTTCAGGGTCCCGTTAGACCACCGCAGGCGCCTAGTAGGCCACCTCCGGGTTTTTCAAAGCCCTCGCAGGCTCCAGTATTTCCCTGGGGCCATAAAAAGGCTGACCCACCGCGGGCAACCTCCTCCGCTCCTCAAGCGAAACAGCCATCAATGGTCGATGACCTTAACACGGTTTACGCCGCGATAAGGAACAACGACGTTAATGAAATAGCAGTGTTAGCGAGTAAATTGCGCGCTGCTCGGTCCCCTCAGGACCGCCTCCTAACTCTCGTAGAGCATAATAATCTATTACGCTCATTGTAAGTTAAGTTAACTTAATTAACTTAACTTCACAATGACAGAGCCATCTGCTCTGCTTATAAGTCACGGACGTGTAAAGCCTAAAGGGTTATCGCTTAATTCTTTTAACATTCGCGGATTGCGAAATAACCTCCCAGAGCTTAAGCTCTTCCTTCGAGATCGCGTAGCCGATTTTCTCCTCTTACAGGAAACTAACCTCAAATCTAAGGACACTACAGGCCTTTCTATTAATAATTATTCTCTTCTTCGTAATGACAGGCCCGACCGCCGAGGCGGCGAAACGGTCATTTATTACAAGAGGACATATCTCTGATTCAAATATCAGTGTAAATATGGACAAGACTCCTACTAATCTTATTTCTATGCGTAAAAAGAGAGCAAGGGAAGAAGATCTACCAGGGGAATTTACTAAATTCAAGAATGAAATCAAAGAAATGTTAGCTTCATTTATCTCAACCCAACAAAGTGAATTAAAAGTAATTACCTCAAATCTCAAGGATATTCAGATAACAAACAATAACATTGAGACCGCCATTACTAACTTATCTTGCCAAAATGAGGAATTCCGTAAGAAAATTGAACTGCTTGAGTTACAAGGTAAAAAGGACCGTGAATACATTGTCTTGTTAGAGGATAAAATCGAAGACTTACAAAGGAGCCATAAGAAAACTTGCATTGAAATAAAGAACGTCCCTAAACTGCCTCAGGAAAATAACTCTGATTTAATTAATATGATCATGAAACTATCTACACATCTAAGTCTGGAGATGGACTCACGTGACTTAAAAGACATTTATCGACTGCCCAGTAGGAAAGAAGGTATAACAAATACTCCTATAATTGTGGAATTGAACTCCACTATGTTAAAGACTAACTTACTAAAGAAGGTAAAGTCATTTAATATTAAAAACACAAGTAAACTTCAAGCAAAGCATCTTGGGATAACAAAAGACGCCGATGTACCTGTGTTTATATCTGAGCAATTAACTCCTAAGGGCGCCCGACTATTTTTCTTAGCCCGAGATTTGGCTAAAACTAAAAAATATAAATTTTGTTGGACAGCATTTGGTCGTATTTTAGTAAAAAAAGATGAAAATTCTCGAGTAATTGCCATCAAAAGTGAGGCCCAGGTACAACAGCTGATGCAAGAAGCATGACTAGTATGTACTGTCACAATCATTAAAATATTCTTAGTACTAATAACGTTGCCTTTTTCTATTAGTATAAATAATGTTTTGTTTAATTTTAATCAATACAGATATATTTTAAACTACTTTAATTACCATTGTAAGCATGCTCAGCTCGCTGTTACACACACAAACACTTTGCTTCGAACACTCCGTATCATAAAACAAAAACAACAAACTCACTCAATATACCCACACCCACACTTATTCTTCAAAGTGCCTAATATAGTATGTTTTGATATACCAATTTACACGCATATAATTAAATACAGAAAAAGTCGTCAGATTACTGAAAAAAATATTGTTCAAAATTTAGAATCACCTTTTGTCACTCTAATTAATAATGGATAGTAACTTATGTAATTTACAGGAATTAGATACAACTGAGATAGCTAATTCTGCTATTCTTGATATTGCACATTTACATACATACCTACAACGAGATTTTAATAACATGACTGTCTTGACACAAAACATAAGGAGCATTTACAGTAACTTCGACGATTTTCAGATAACTCTGTCTCAAATCGGAGTCGAGGTAGATGTGCTAATCCTAACAGAATGCAGATTAAACACTAATAAACCTCTACCAGTGTTAAACAACTATACTCCGTTTAATACATTTAGGCAGCTAAACCAAAATGACGGCGTAGTAGCCTATATAAAAAACTGCCACTTACCTCAGGTAACTGAAATCAATTTAACACATGCATCCGCCTTGGAAATAAATATTCCAAATTTTACCATTATTGGTATCTATCGGTCTCCGTCGAATGTATCCACTGAAACTTTTATTCACTCATTTGATCAGTACCTTCAAAGTATTCACACACGTAGAAACACCATTATTACTGGAGACATAAATATTAACCTAATAGGAAAGCCGTCAGAATCAGCACAAATGAGAACTAGCAGATTAACGTATTTAAATATGACGGCTATACATGGTTTCCTCCCAGGACACTGTTTGCCTACAAGGGAAGAGAACTGCCTAGATCACATGCTCCTTAAGCTAGACAAATTAAATAACTCGGCTTTTGTGGCTGTCCTAAACACGTCTGTTACTGATCATGCAATGGTATTATTAAATATATCCCACAAACACGAAAACAAGGCTTGTGTCAAATATAAAACCATAGCAAACTGGGAGAATACGTATAAGCACCTTGTAGATATAGATATATCTTTTCTTAGTGCACATAGAGACCCAAACATTCTAGCTGACGCGATGATAGGCTTGATTAGGACATCCCTCCTCCAAAACACTAAAGTTGTCTCAGTGTCCAGCTCCAAGCGAACTTTAAAGCCCTGGATAACTATGGGCGCCCTAAGATGTATTAGGTTTAGAAATAAATTGCAGCTACAAAAGAGAAAAGACCCTTTTAACGTTATATTGATTATAACTTACAGGCGTTTTCGCACATATTGTTCTAATCTTATTAAAAAACTCAAACGACAGTATCATAAAAATCAGATTTTAAATTCTTTAAAAAATCCTAAACTACTCTGGCGTAAAATTAATGACATTACACATTATAAAAAACCCAAGGCGTCTAGTATACACCTACTGCATATCACACCACATCCTCTTGACTCTTTAAACCGTGTAAACCAATTCTTCGCAACTATTGGAAAAAAACTTGCGGATGAAATCATAACCCTAACTGGACAAGCATCTAGATCTGTCACTTACTTAAATTCATTATCTCAAATTAACTCGTTCGTCCTACTTGAGACAGATCCGGCAGAAGTGGATAGCATACTTGGATCACTTGACTCAGAAAGTGCTTCGGGGTGGGATTGCATACCTGTGGGTTTCCTTAAATTATCTCGAGAACTAGTCGTTCCTCTTATTAGCCAGTTGATTAATATGTGTTTCGAAACGGGCGTATTTCCTGATGCGCTAAAACGTTCTATAATTACGCCCGTGCACAAAGATGGGGACAAGAGTGATGTTAACAATTATCGGCCGATATCTGTCTTAACATCCCTTTCAAAAATAATAGAGAAAATATTAAACAAAAGGCTAGTAAGTTATTTAAATAAATACAACATTATTTCAGATTCACAATACGGTTTTAGACAGAGACGGTCAACTCAGGATGCGATCATTGCGTTAACATCTGAAATCGTTAATAAGATAGACAATGGTTATAAATGCGTTACGGTGTTTCTAGACCTGAAAAAGGCTTTTGACACTGTATCTGTTCCCATCCTTGTGCAGAGACTTGAAGCTATAGGGATAAGAGGTAAAGCTCTCTCCCTCTTTGACAGCTACCTCCGAGGTAGGAGACAGCAAGTTAAAATAGATAACTTGCTTAGTGAGGAGGAAAACATTATTTACGGTGTCCCACAGGGCTCGGTTCTCGGCCCATCACTGTTTCTAGTGTATATTAATGAATTATGCAACCTACGAAGCAGTGGTGGGAAAACCTTCTCCTACGCGGACGACACGGCCATCGTTTACATTGGGGACTCGTGGGAAGAAGTATGCAATAATGCCGAGCAAGGATTAGTTGTTATAGATAGATGGCTCAAAGCCAGTCTGCTAACCATTAATGTGATTAAAACGAACTACGTTTGTTTTTCTCCTAGTTTAAGATCTAAACCAGGCCTCAATTTTAAAATTAGAATACACACGTGTGCGGACCACTTGAACCATAATTGTAATTGCCAGGTCCTTAAACATATAACGTCCACAAGATACTTGGGAATTATAGTTGACGAGTGTTTAACTTGGCATTCGCATATTGAGATTGTTACATCACGGGTGCGCAAATTTATATGGATTTTTAAAAATTTAAGATATGTGATGCCTCAGAAGACACTAAATAGCATCTATATTATGCTTACGCAATCAGTTCTTACATATTGTTTACCAGTCTGGGGAGGAACCACTAAAACTAAATTCCTTGAGTTAGAAAGAGCCCAAAGGTCACTTATAAAAGTAATGTACTATAAACCATACAGATACCCCACCGACGATCTATATAGAATCAGTGGCTTACTTTCAATTAGAAAACTATATTACTTAATTACGGTCCTATACTTACAAAAATCTATTCCATTTAACCAAGACAGTCAGGAGAGGAGACGAAAAGACATAGTGGCTTACTCCCTAAGGGTCCGAACCGCTTTTGCACGGCGTCAGTATGCAACCCAATCAGTCTACATTTATAATAAAATAAACGTAAAATTAAAGTTCCACCATGAGGTACTACACGTATGCAAAAAGGTAATAACTGAGTGGTTAAAAACCTTAACATACGAAGAAACTGAACAAATTTTAGATAGACTTAGTTAAGCAATTTTTTTTTTCTTCTTTCTTATCAATAATGTACGTACTCACCGAGCTTAATCTATTACATGCACTTCGAACACACCGGCACTACAAAGAAGACACACACTCACACACATAAACGCACGCGCACACACACACACACACACACACACACACACACACACACACACACACACACACACACACACACACACATACACGCACGCACCCAGTGCACTACAGTTTCACACAGGCGTACAACTACAGTTACACAAAGAGCTAATAATTACTTTATAAGTCACTTACTGTTATTTTTTCTTCATAAATTTATCTTTACTTACCTTTTGTATAATAGTCTCAATATTGTTAATAATTAAGGGAAAGAGCGAGATAGCCCCAACACAAGTATTATCAATTACTTACTGGGGATGTCTCATTTATAATTCATGTAACTGTTTTGAGACAAATAAACATTTTCATTTTTTTTTTCATTTTTTTTTTTCATTGCTCTCATATTAATACGCCGCAGCTTACCAATATGGAAGCTACGATATGCAGGTTAGCTATGACGGGACATCAGTCTTTAGTCATAGCCTCCTGTTACATTCCCCCTGGAATCGACCCCCTCAAAAAAGATTTTGAGGCTATCTTATCGCTAGGCAATTCAGTCATTATTTTTGGAGATTTTAACTCTAAACATAATGAATGGACATGCCGTGCAACTAACCGTAGTGGCAAGAAACTGCTTGAAATAACGCAGTCTCTTGACATTACAATCCACAGTCCACTCGGTGCTACTCACTATCCCGATGCCACCGATTACGCCCCCGATATACTAGATATTGCGTTACTCAAAGGAGTTTCTCTTAACCTCAGGTCAATCGAGACACTAGACGATATAGGATCCGATCACCGACCGGTCTCCCTTATTCTTGGCCATCAGCCACCCCCATAACAACAACGAAAACTTTTACTAATTGGAAGGGTTTCAAGGATTCTCTAGCTAAAGCTATAGACTCACTGGACTCCCCCAACTAGCTATCGCCGGACATAGACCTAGACAGTCCTGAAAAAATCGACACCGCGGTCGATTCACTCTCAATACTTATTAAATCTTCCTTTTAGGAGAAGGAAAGGGTCGTTCCGGTTGTTAATAATAGTGGGCTTCCCCTACATATTAGCAACCTATTAAAAGCTAAAAAAAGCTGCTTTCCGGAGAGCAGAAAAATATCCCACCCCCGAATATAGGCACACGGCGAATCGTCTTCAACGACAACTCCGTTTCCGCCTCTCCGAACTTCGAGACCTCCAAAGGAGTGATCTCATGGAGAATATATCTCCCTCACATACAGCGTACTATAAGATGGCTAGAGCCCTCCGTATAGACGCTATAACTCACACTCCCCCTCTCTCTCGCCCCGACGGTACGGTTGACTTCGAGGACGACGAAAAGGCCGAGTGCTTCGCAGACAGCATTGCCGAACAATGCTCTCCTAGCTCTCAACCTGTCGACCCCTCTCATATTCAGGAAGTGGAGGATGAGGTCCGCCGTCGGAACTCACTCCCTACAACCTCTGACCCCATTACTGTGTCCAATGATGAGATCTCGTCCCTCATCAAAGGACTTAAGCCCAAAAAAGCTCCGGGCGCGGATGCATCTCCAACCAAGCCTTAAGGGCTTTCCAGAGTAGGTGTTAACCCTCTTAGCTATTATTTTCAACGCCTGTTTCAATCTTAGTTACTTTCCAACTACGTGGAAAGAGGCAACTGTCATTGGTATTCCCAAGCCAGGCAAGCCTCTTAACCTCCCCTCCAGTCATCGTCCCATTAGCCTCCTCAAGGCCATGGGCAAGCTCTTTGAAAGAGTTATTCAAAATCGAATGAGGCGCTATCTGTTTCCCACAGACGGTGACCCTATTGTCATCCCCCACCAATTTGGTTTCCGAGCGAAACACTCCTGCCCCCAACAAGTTCACCGCATTGTGGAATATATCCTCAGCGGTTTTTATCCACGTCGACATAAAACCATCGCGGTCTTTTTCGACATCGCCAAAGCCTTCGACCGAGTCTGGCACGAAGGCCTTATATTTAAACTATATAGAGTAGATCTCTCCGATCGTTTAGTACGTCTCGTGGCCTCTTACAACATCGTACCTTTCGTTTTAGATACGAAGGCACGCTCTCCTCTTAGAGACCCATCAAAGCTGGTGTTCCTCAGGGATTAGTACTTGCTCCCCTCCTCTACATCTTGTACACCAACGACATTCCAATCCCGTCGAATGGTGTACAGCTCTCCCTATTTGCAGATGACACTGCCCTATACTTTAAAGGTCACACACTACCTTTCGTAAGGAACAAGATCCAAAAGTCAGTCGATGACCTAGGAGCTTGGTTCCAAAAATGTCGCATCGATGTGAACCCGGATAAGAGCTCCGCAGTTCAATTTGATTGGAAAAGACGCCGATTCAAAATCAATAAAAATATTCCACCAATACGTATGTTAGAGACCACAGTTCCCTGGCATACGTCTGCTAAATATTTAGGTGTCACCCTTGACACAAGGCTTACTTTCGAGCCTCATATCAAAAGAGTTACCCGTCTAGCACGGTTCTATCTAGGTAGGCTTAACAGTATGCTAGGTCGACATAGTAAAATGTCTTTAAGAAATAAGCGAACCCTTTATAAGGTTTGTATACGACCGGTAATGTCATACGCGGCCCCTATTTATGCACACGCTAATTCTAAAATTATAAATGAACTTCAAATAGTCCAAAATCACTTCTGTCGTCGAGCTACGAAAGCACCTTGGTACGTCCGTAATGCCGACCTTCATCGGGACTTAGAAATCCCAACAATACAACAATTTATTAAAAAACTCTCTGAAAACTTTTTCAAAGTCTCAGAGTCGCATAATAACACACTAATTCGTGAGGCAGCTAGTTATGCAGCCCCACTCCCCTCCCGCTATCGCGTCCGCAGGCCGAGGAACTCCCTCTCGGATCCGCCAAACAAACTTTCAAACGACTTGAACTGCCTCCTGGCGGCTCAGTCAAATTCATAATTAATTTTCATAATTAATTTTTATTAATAATTAAATTGCCTTCGTAGGCACTCCCTCAGCGGCTTATAGCCGCCTGCGCCCTCTTTTCCCAAAAGAGGGTCGCTTTCGATACGGCATGAGAAGCTTTAAACAGCTGGTTGTCAGTCCCCAAAGGCGGTTTTTAGGGGGTATCTCACTTAGGCTAGGCACTAGGCTCCCCGGTTAGGCGTGAGTCCCCCATAGCCACCATGGATAGCCTATCGTGGTATGCGTAATGCATTTTCCGCCTCCCTACGTAAAGGGTAGCCCATTTTCCAATTGCTTCGGGCGCAAAAAAAAAGAAAATTAAATATGGGTCAGTCGTAATTTAGACTTTGCAGTGAACACACGTGAACAAGTAACCCAAGTAAGAACAAGTAAAGATGGACACCAGCTCTGAAGAAGCCGCTCAAGTGATTGCCCTATTGCAGTCGGGGATGCGGCAGTGTGACGTTGCTCGACAGTTGAACCTGTCCCGTTTTTCAGTTCGACGGCTGTTCCAACGTTTTCAGCAGACTGGTGGTTATGTTAGAAAACCGGGATCTGGAAGAAAACGGTGCACATCAGAAAGAGATGACCATTTCATCGTTACGACATCTTTACGAAACCGTTTTAAAAATCCTGTTGAGTTGCAACAACAGCTTCGAGAGATCATCAACTCGGAGAACATCTGTGAGTGTTTCTACGATAAGAAGAAGGTTACACGAAAAGAGTTTAACAGCCCATAGACCTGCTAAAGGTCCAAAACTTACTGCACAGCATCGCAGAGATCGCCTAGAGTTTGCTCGCAATCATTGCGAGTGGACTCTAGAACAGTGGCGGACCGTACTCTTCTCTGATGAGACGAGGGTCTGTCTCTTCTGCAATGACAAACGTAGAAGGGTCTACAGAAGACAGGGGGAGAGGTTCACACAACCCTGCTTCGAAGAATCCGTCGAATACGTGGGTGGCTCGTGTATGTTTTGGGGCGGCATTTCCGTCGACGGGAAAACGGAACTTGTGTGCGTTTCCCGGACTCGGGGTGGCCGTGGGCAAGGGTCATTAAATGCTGGTCGGTACATTACTGAAATCCTGGAGGAACATGTGGTCCCGTATGCTGGTTATGTCGGTAATGGATTCATGTTAATGCATGATAATGCTCGTTGCCACACCGCGGCTATTGTACGGGATTATTTACAGGAGGTCGATATTCCTGTAATGCATTGGCCAGCACGAAGTCCTGACCTTAACCCAATAGAACATCTCTGGGATGACCTAAAACGGCGCGTGCGAGCTCGAGATCCAGCTCCAACCACTCTTCAAGAGCTCCAAGATGCGGTACTTGAAGAGTGAGAACAAATACCCCAAGAGGCTGTTGCGACCCTTGTAAGGTCCATGAAAGATCGCATGGAAGCCGTTATCAAGGCAAGGGGGGGTAACACTAGGTTTTAAGAACTTTTTTTGTGTTTATTAAGTTTTTTTTAAATTATTAATTTGCAAAGGAGAATGACCAAAAGTGGTACCAAAAATTCTCGCGCATCAAGACCAACATTTTATAGTAATTAGTTTCATATTAGTTTACGACATTACTCGTCCGGGGATTTGATTTTTGAACATGGAATTTACTTTTAAGTTTAGAAGTATGGATTTAGGATATAGTCAATTTTATTTTACATTTGGTTAGGGAAGTCTCAGTCCATGCTCTATGTCTGTGGTTTTACTCCCTATAAATGACACGTATAGCAGGCATATCGATTCAGTTAAAAAATAATCGATCTCCGATTCGATTCATACATACCAGAATCGATTTTTTATTAAATCGAGTGTTAAAAGATTGATTTTCGATTAATCACGACATTTTCAAATATGCTTAATATAGACACAGAACATTATTGATCATAATTTACTAAATACAAGTAATTGGATAGAAATAAGATTAAATTGATAAACATAACACCACGCCTGTATTTCCCCGAAATAGAAAGCAGAGGTGTGTAGCACTCCTGCTAATCATTATTATTCAATTAATAAACATAACATCACGCATGTATTTCCCCGAAGGAGTAGGCAGAGGTATGTAGTATTCCTACTAGTCCTTAGTTATGTTATACCGCCCGTGTAATGGGGGTTGAGCCTTTTGTTATACACTGGGCACAAATCCAGACTATGTGCTGCGACTGGGAATTTAAATAGTGCAAACTGCAACGTACCCTTCTCCACACACTCAGACACTACTCTAGTACAGAACACTAGGGCACACCGCGTTCGCCGGCGAACGCGTGGTCATAGACACACCCCGTACACGAGGTGCAACACCCGTAATACGGGGCGTTTCTAATTTTTGCGACCCGTAAACAAAATTGCGATAGTGATTCAAGCCGAGGTTCGTACCTCCTTCTGAGGGGCCCTTGAATTGCATCGAGAAGATATTTAAGAGAGACTCTCTTAAATATCTTCAAGCCTGCTCTCTAATAATGTGGGCGTTGCGCGGCGGTTTGTTTTTAATTTTACAAACGGCTGCGTAAGTCCAGCGGTGATTGGTCGCATGTTTTATCGCATGACGCAGTCGCTCGCTTCTTAGGTAGAGAGCGGTTGCGTCATCGGTTTGTATAAAAGGCAGTTGTTTTGGCTCGCCGCTCACTTAGCGGTTAGCCACCGTAGAGTCTATATCACCTGAGGATGCCTCGTGTAGAGGCGAAACACGTGTCGTATTATCGTCAGTGGTGTGTCTTGCCTAGTGTAGTGGTGTTGGGAGTAGCGGTGCTGGGATTAGTGGTGACGGGGTTAGTGCACGCAATTGAGGGAGGGCGGGAGGTGCTTCTTCATACTAGGTAAGACACATCATTTTATTTTATAACGCGGATATTTGCGAAGTAAATTTTTGTAAAAGCTTTTATATAATGGATTTCCGCAAAGTAACGCCTGATTCTATTAAGGTAATGTTTATTTCTTTACAATAAACTTCAACATATAATATTTAGTCACAATATATTTTTAATAAATATTATTTTATTTAGATTTTTGGCTTGGATGCTTGTTGTCCTTTAAGCTATGTTTTCATTTATTTTAGTATCAAGTGATCTTTTATAGTACACTGCTTCACAACATGTTGATTCACCACATCGCGTAGATTTCAGGAGATTTTGACGGCCACTTGAGCCAGCAGATAGTTGGTAATAGTATTTCAAGGTGCTTAAGCAGGCAGACGCCTTATTTTGAGATACACATCATCATCGAAGCACTTGTTGCACCGTTATCGCTAATAGTTCATATGCGCAGACATTTAATATGCAGATTCGAACCACTTTAACATAACAAAATCCACTTGAAACCATTATTTAAATAATAATACAGGAACAGCAATCAGCCGGTCAAGTTCCCGTCAAAACTCCTTTGATAGATAAGTATATAAAAAGCACAGATAAGTTTAGAGGCTGGAATCCACGGGTTAGATTAGAAATAACAATGACAACTTTTTTATTATTAGTAAGTAATGTAAGTAACAACTTCTTTGGATGAACTTGTTACATATATGGATGTCCCTTACAAAACCGCGAACTACGCGGCTACCTCATTTTCCCACACAACATTTCAACATCGCTTCCACGAGGCAGTTTCGCTGACTTGATGGAAACTCGGTCGCCGTGGACTCACAATGACGCACGCGATGTCAACCGACATAGCTCCTTTATCAGAAACCTAATGCAGCGAGGCAATTCTGCTAACCTGATGGGAAATGTAGCTGCCGTGGATTCACAGTGACGCCTGCGGCGTCACCTGCCAGCATTATATATACGAAACTCCATGATGCCACTTCACTTCGTTTCTAACATCGAACGGGGTGTTGGTATAATTAGATTTAATTAGTATTAGTTATTTTTACTTGTAATATCTTTTAATTTAAGTTTAATAAAAGTAATTTTGGTTGTTTTTGGGTCCTCCGGCGGCGACATCCATAATTAGCTCATAAATATTTATTTTATGTGTTCAAATTAACCACCAAGTACGACCGGTTGTTTTTGCGTCCGACTACAGCATAAAAATTAAAAAGGTAATACATTGCAACCAATTTATGTACTTTATCACTAGTTCGTGAATCAGAACGATTCGCGAGGTTTTTGGATCGATTCATCGAATCGATGTACTGCCCCACATCGATCTGAAAATTGATAATAGTACCCTAAATAATCGATTTTTCGAATCGACATGCCTAGTTTATGGTTTATAGTTACCGTTTCCGGGTCTGACTGTCAGACTCTGACATTTGTAATGACGCAGTAACAGTAACTTTGCGTATGCGCTAGCAAATACGACCGCATGTATTTTGTATGTTGCATGTATGTTGAGAAGTAAACCTTGTTGTATTTTGTAAACTTTTTCTGTGTATTTAATTGTGCAAATATGTCCAGTCGTGGGGTTGACCAATTGATACCGTCAGTCACCCGGCAAAACCAACGATGTATCAATTGTTCATTTTTGATACCCAGAAACCTACGTACACATTCATTAGAACAAGCGTCTACTCCAATGATTAACTTGTTACAGTCGTGGATAACTCCTACTCAGGTAAGCAGATTTTATTTTACTCTGAATATCTAAGGATGTCACATCTCCACCATCTTACAAAACATTTTTATAGAATGAAAGAAATATTTATTTTAGACTTGCACAAAAAATAACAAAGATTGAACCTGTTTGAGGTCAAAAAAGGCTTTGCCCTTGATTACATACAGGTGTAACTTCTGTGAATATGTTACAGATGATAGATAACGCCACAAGGTGTATTTACACACTTTTTTAGTCATGGTTTTTATTGCAGTTGTCTTCAGAATGCGTACTTTGTACAGAGTGTTTGACACTGCTTCAAGATAGAGCAAACACAATCAGTGAAGGATTGCCTGCTTTTGGTCATAGAAAATTATGTTTTTCTTGTGGCAATTCTATTCTACGTGCAACTAGAACATATCCTGTAAGACAAGATCGACAAGAGAGAAACATTTTAGTTAGACGTGTTCCGCTGCATTTGGTAAATATTTTTATTTATGTTGCTATATAAAAAAAAATCAAATTCTTTTTAATGTTCTACTTTTTTCCAATCTTCTATAGTTGATTGTGATAATACTATTATTAGATGTGTTTATTATATTGAGTCCCGATAAGTGAAGCTTTCACAAATAAATAATGTTGTAGGTATTAGATAATATTATCTCTTTTGACACAATTATTGCCCGACCATTATCATATGTTCCTAACAGTTACATCACAAACATTTATCAAGCTTATAACCTATTGTGAAATATTTTGTATTACATGTTTAATCATGTTATTTTTTAGATCTCAAGATTGGAAAGAGTATGTGCTGCTTGCTGGAGATCAGCTGTAAAAGAAGTGCAACGTCATGATCAGCACGACTTCAATCGCCCTGGTCTGTCAGATGCTGGACCAAGTGGGGATCTCAATATTCCTGAGCCACCCCCTCTTCCACAACAAAACCTACACACTGTTACACTACACACTACACACCAAGTTAGATCAAATTCAACAATTATATCTTCTACGTATAAGCGTGCCGCTAGCACATCCAATCACTGTATATTTGTTAATTGTTTTGAAACAGAACGTTTACTGATACCCTCATCTATAAAGAATCTGTTATTACTTAATTATAAATTGTATGTGCCACCGACAGCACGAATCTGTCGTCACCACCTGAATCATGGCCGTTGGAGCGAATTATCTTCCCAGTTAAGAGATTTTACCGGTAGTCAATTCGACACAATTATGAATATGATGCAGCGAGCTGCCTATTACCATATAGATTTCTCAAATATTTTAATTATGCCTGCATATTTGTGTCAGTTTTGGCTTGGCATGAACTCTGATCAGTTTTATGATTTGTTAAACTGTATCCCAAGTCTAGCAGGACAAGTACCAAATGCCACGATTGCTTTAAGTATTTACTTAGTTAAGCTGAGAACTGGGGATAGTAATGAAAGGTTGGCAACTCTCTTTAATAAATCTCGTGTCACCTTAGAACGCTTAATGAATAAGGCCAGAGAGTGTTTAATTAATGAGTTTGTTCCATTATACTTAGGATTTAATCATATGACTGTTGAAGATGTTGCTTCTAGAAATAGAATAATACCAGAAGGATTATTTGGTAATCCTGATTTGCCACCTAATTCTAAACCAGCAATAGTCATATGTGATGCTACTTATGTATTTATCCAAAGTAGTTCTAATTACTTATTTCAAAAACAAACATACAGTTTGCAAAAATTGGATAATTTGGTCAAACCATTTATGATAGTTTCTTGTGATGGTCATATTGTGGATTGCCTCGGGCCATACAAGGCGACCACTAATGATGCTTCAATTACATGTTTAAACTTATGTAATGAGGAATCTTGTTTAAGATCATTTTTCCGAAGGGGTGACATTTTCATCCTTGATAGAGGATTTAGGGATGTAATTAATGAACTCCAAAGGTATGGCTTTGTAGCACATATGCCAGAGTATCTACTTGAGAATGAGCATCAATTAACAACCCAGCAGGCAAATCGATCTCGTCTTGTTACTATGTGCCGCTGGGTTGTAGAAGTGGTTAATGGGAGGGTGAAAAGGGATTTTAGACTCTTTCGTCATGTTTTTAACAATAGAGCGGCTTTGCACCTAAAGAATGATTTTAGAATCTCTTGTGCCCTAATTAATAAGTTTCATGTTGTTATAGAAAACCCACCTGAAGCCTTGGAATATGTAAGAATTGCTAAAGATAGGCTTTCACTAGAGAACCATTTAGCAACTTATGTTGAACAGGCAAATCTCAATAGAAGGAGAGTGAATTTTCAGATGATTAACAGCAATAATCCACATTTAGATAGATTTCCTCAATTGACAATAACTGATTTAAAACGGTTAGCTCTTGGGACCTACCAACTCAAACAGGCTACATCTTATTATGGGGAACACATCCGTCAGACTGGTATTTATTCAATTGAGGTGAATAATACTCTTGATGATGATGTACCTTTGATATTAGGGCTTAATAATTATCTCTTAAGAGGTAGGATTAAATCTAGACATGTCAACAATCGTACTTATCACACGTATTTATTGATTAGCAGAGATGATGCTGTGGCTAACACATTAGATACCATAGTAGGCTATTGCTGCAGCTGCCTCATCGGTAAGCGAACAGTTGGCTGCTGTGCTCATATAATGACGATAGTGTGGTATTTGAGCTGGGGACGGTATAATGACGTAACTGCGCCGGCATCGGCTTTAGATAATTTTTTTCAGGAGTATGATGAATGAATGATTTAATTAAATGTATATTAAATAAAATATAAAATATTTTATTTAATATATATTTTGATTTCTTATATTTACACGAACACTACACATTGAATAAAACTATTTTTACGGATTTTATCGCGTTTTATTAACTTATTTTATATTCCCGACGATTCGGTTGTTTTCCAGCAACCGTGGTCACGGAGGACTGAGGTAGGTGATTGACGTCCTGATGTCAGAGTTAAACCGGAGTACCTTCAGCTTTTTTAATTAATAATTTTAGTCCGATTTACACAGAATGATAGTTGAACGATAGTGTCTTGAAGTTTTGCAGTGGTATGCTTGGGTTTAGTTTTAATTTTATGAATTACATAATCCCAAGCAGGTGGTAGTACCCAGCCTCCCTCTCTATTGAAATTAGGATGTTTTTTAATTTCAATAGCCTCACGTATCATCCTTTTACGTATCAAGCATACCACTGAAAGACCTCAAGACATAGTTAAAAGCAACCGAAAAACAGCTGGAAAGCAACCGAAACGTCGGGAATATAAAATAAGTTAATTAAACGCGATAAAATCCGTAAAAATAGTTTTATTCAATAATATACATTTACTTAAAACATTTGACTTTTCGACAAAAGCTATTATTAAAAATGAACTTTTGTTTTATTTTTTCTATCCCTTATTTAATTAATTTACGACAATAATATGTCCATGAGTAATAGTATCTGTCATGAATAGTATTTTAAGATTATTAAAGGGTTATTGTTCAAGACGCTCTCTAGACTCCATGAGCGTGTTTTTCAGTCTGGTCACCCTTATGATTATGTTATATTGATATTAGTTTGGTAGTGTAATCACAGTAATCATCATTACAGCCCCTCACAAGTCCACAGCTGATTATAGGCCTCCTCAAAGCCCACACAAGCCTCGAGCAAGCAGTCTCACAGGTGGTGTTTAGTGGGTAGGCACTTAGGTTTCGCAGTGAGTCCCACATAACCACGCAGCCGGCTGTCGGGGTATGCTTAGAGCATTCACCACCTGCCTTCCCGCTTCCCGGAGGGTAGCCCTTTTCATTGCTTCTGGGCGCAAAAACAAAAAAAAAACGCGCAAATCTTCGAGTTTCAGTCACGCATCCTGTAGCACGGCTATATGTTGATATTACTCTTAATTCTTACTGATATTAGTGGATAACGCTGTTTTTAGAGCCATAAAGTTTGTCTGTGTGGAACGTGTCTATTTAAAATTGGTTTTGGTAGTGTCGAAAAAATAGACCTAGTTTTTAGGTTATTTTCGATTTTATAAAATAACACAAAATCCGGGTTTTTGTAAAAAAAAAAACTTTTGTAGGATTTAATATGATCAGTGTAGTTCATAGATGTTAAGTGATAAATTTTATAATGCATACTGTATACAACATAAGTCATGTTACCTTTGCCTGCCCTATAAAAAAAAAAGGAATCCTTGCTGCTTGGTGTGTTTTTTTTTGTATCTATGCCTCCCGGAAAATGTTTTTGTCATGTCATAGTTTTTTATTACAGTTCTCAACTTCTCATCTCTGTGCTTTATGTTAATACATAATAGAAATAAAAAGTTTATTTAGAAATCTTACTTAATATTATTATTTTTTGGTCCCATAATAATAGGTTATGGGCCCAGGTACGCTTCGTAATAAACTGAGTAAAGAGCAGAACTTATAAGGTGAAAACAAGCACGTGTTCGATAGTGAAGAAAACAAAATGGAAGTCACAAATTCAATGAGAATTGAGAAGTTTAACGGCAAGGATTTTCGACAATGGAAATTTCAAGTCAGTTGTGCCTTAAAAGCGAAAGGTTTAAATATCCATGAAAAAAAACCGACGGTGGGTGATACGACGCAGTGGGACAAAAATGATGGCATGGCCATGTTTCTATTAACTTCGTCTATGGAACTGAACCAAATCTCATTAATTGAAAATTGTGAAACAGCAAAGGAAGTGATGACAAGGTTGGAATCAATTTACGAACAAAAATCGGAACTGAACAAAATGATGGTGCACGAGAAATTCTATCAATATAAGATGTCATCAACCGATAGTATTGCACAGCATATTTCCAAAGTCGAGAACTTAGCTAAACAATTAAAAGAGACTGGCGAGGAAATAAGTAATACAGCAATTATGACAAAAATATTAAGTACACTACCTTCAAAGTATCGTTCTCTGCGTCAGGCATGGCTGTCATTAGATCCACATTCTCAAACAATTCAGAACTTAACAGCAAGATTATTAGATGAGGAGGCGAGTTTGACAAATGAGGAGGAATCTGAGAGTGCTTTAGTAGCCATGAAACATTCTAAGCCACAAAGAAAATTTCAGAATCACAATATGCAAAAAATTTCAACGTCTGGTCAAAATAATCAGCATCGATTTATATGTTATAACTGTAACAAGAGAGGGCATTTTGCAAGAGATTGTCGAGCCCCAAAGAAGTCTGAGAGGAAACCTCAAGAGCAAAAGATGCTTGCATTCAGTGCCGAGCAATGTTTACAGTCTGAAGCAGATATAGATACATGGATTCTTGACAGTGGTGCATCTGCACACATGTCATACAGGCGCGATTATTTCAGTGAGTTAATGGATTATGGCAAGAATAGTGGTGGTACAACTGTGAGATTGGGAAATAAGAAGGAACTAGTGGTGCACGGTTGTGGAAATATATTAATTAATAGATGTGTGAATGGAAAGTGGGAGAAAAGTATTCTAGAAGATGTACTTTATGTACCAGAGCTACGCAGAAATTTGTTCTCAGAAGGCATGGCAACAAGAAAAGGCTATGTTATAATTAAGAAGTACAATGAGGCCTTAATATTAAAAGATAATACTGTTGTTATGACTGCAACATTGAAGCAGAATAATCTATATGAAGTAAATATTAAAACCACAGTGCAAATAGATTGTAATTTAGCACAGTCAAGTTTGAAAATCTGGCATGAACGTTTGGGACATTTAAACTTGAAGGAAGTGAAAAACATGAGCAAGAATGGTGCAATTCCAGTAAAGTTAACGGATGACATCAACTTTGTGTGTGAGGCTTGTCAATATGGCAAACGGAGCCGCTTGCCATTTCATAAATCTTGTAGAGGAGAATGTGAACCTGGTGATTTAACCTACAGTGATGTGTGTGGACCTGTAGAACATACATCTGTATCTGGAGCAAGATATTTTGTTTTATTTAAAGATGGTGCCACCAGCTATAGACATGTGTTTATTATCAAGCACAAAAGTGATGTCCTGGATTGCTTTAAGAAATACAATGCAATAGTGAAAAATAAGTTTGGTCATGGCACTCGTATATTGCATACAGACAATGGACGTGAGTACGTTAACAATGAACTTAAATCTTATTTGAATAGTGAAGGAATAGTTCATGAACGCACAGCACCCTACACGCCTGAACAAAACGGTAGAGTGGAGAGAGAAATGCGGACAATAATGGAGAGTGCAAGATCTATGTTGTACTCTCGTGATATCTCATTGGATCTCTGGGCTGAAGCAGTAAACTGTGCTGTTTATTTATTAAATCGAAGTTCTTCTACCCAGACAAAGGATGTATCCCCATATGAGCTGTGGAATGGACAGAAGCCAGCCCTTCAACATATAAGAGTATTTGGTTCAGAAGGATATGTCCATATACCTGATGAAAGAAGAAGAAAACTAGATAAAAAGAGTGTAAGATTAATATTAGTAGGATATGAAAATGAAAATTATAGAATGTTTGATATTGAAAGTGGGAAGATAACAATAAGTAGAAATGTACACTTCAATGAGAACAACATACCAGTACTGAGGAAACACACAACTTCAATTTCTATCACCGATGAACAAGAGCAAAGAGAAGGCATACAAGATATACCAGTTTCTCCAGGAGACAACCAAAATATTTCTGAATCTAGTTTTGAAAGTGTAGAAACACAAGAAGATCCCAATGATGTGACGTACCAGCCTCCACAAATAATTTCTGAAGATGATGAAAGAAATATTACACTGAGACCTAGAAGGAAAAGAAATGAAGAAGCAAATTTTATTGAGTTAGATGTACCTACGACATATGAAGAAGCTATAAACTGTAAAAATAGTAATAAATGGAAGGAAGCTATATGTGAAGAATTAGAGTCATTAAAAGAAAATAAAACCTGGAAGTTAGTAAACAGAAATAATGAGAAAACAGTGACCTCAAAATGGGTATTTTGTGTAAAAAGAAATTCAGATGGTGATATAGAAAGATACAAAGCTCGTCTTTGTGCACGTGGGTTTACACAAACTAAGAACGTCGATTACAAGGAAACATTTTCACCAACAACAAGATTCGATTCCATTAGAATAATATTATCTCTTGCAGCTCGAGAGAATTATGAACTACAACAATTTGATGTCAAAACAGCATTTTTGTACGGTGAGTTATCAGAGGATGTCTATATGGAGGTGCCTGAAGGTGTCCATGCTGAGCCAAGGAAAATCTGTAAGTTAATAAAATCAATATATGGGCTAAAACAGTCATCACGCTGTTGGAATAGAAAATTCTCTTCTTTCCTAACTACTTATGGTTTTGAAATGTGTCCCTCTGACAACTGTATATTTGTGGGTCATTTTAATAATTTGTGGGGATTCCACCACATTATTACACACACCTCATATATACACACAGAAACACAATAACACTTACACATAAACACATACATCACCTACAATGAACGTAATTAATTATATATTATGTAACCATTATAGAACAAGCATTTAACACATTGGGACCATTGTGGATCGACCTTTTTCTAGACAGAGCGGCCGGGGATTGAATCGCGGCGCTCGCGCATATCCTGTTGTACTTGTATCAAGTTAGTTACCTGCTGATCGCCTCTGCGACTAGACCCTTGTAACACCTTTGCGCCCGCGGCTAACCACGTACAGTTTATTTGTTAATGCTATCTCTTACTTTCTTGCTTGTGCTATTCTTTGTAACTATGATTGTGCTCGCTTCCCTTCT